TACTGTAGGGCCTGTAGGGGCCCAGATATTTGGAAAAGGGTTCTGGGTATATAGTCCCCCTTAAGTAGCTGAAATCTAGGGATTTAGGGTGTAGGGTTTAGGATTAAGGGTTTAGTGTTTAGGGCATAGTCCCCCTTAAGTAGATAGAATATGAGGTACATGGGGATCTTATTATAATATACCCAAAGCCATATTCTATCTACTCAAGGGGGACGCTAATCTACTGTAGTTGTTAGCAGGGTTGCAAGGGGAGTAAGAGCGATTGTGTAGTTCCTGGGACTGAAGGTTTTACAGGGTGGTGCAATGCTCTCGCCATTGACACAACCACATGCAAGCTTCCATCATTTCCCGGCACAGCATGCGGGCTTTCTGTAAATAGGGATATTACTCCGTTCTATGAAATAAGAATATAATCTACTTTTGCTTCGGTAGTGCGTCATATATGAAGGATGAAGTCTCGCACGGTTCAACCACTGCCAAAAAGCGCGACTTGTGTGACGCGTTGTCTGCTGAGGTGCTTCTCTTCGCGAATCCGCTCATCAAGTGAGCAAGACGTGGGTGGTCTGGAGTGAAGTTTTCCCAATAATCTGCCATAACCTCAGCTCATCAAGATGTTTTCTTCTGGGAGTCAGCTTCATATAGCCCGAAGATGTTTCCTACATGTCAGTCGGAGACAGCTATGTGCGAAGCCTTCTCTGCGAGAAATCCTCCAACCTTATTGCGATGCTAAGGGTCAGCACCTGCTGGCCCAATGTCCTAATGGGAGAAGCGCAGGAATCAGAAATCAGAAAGGAAGAGCTCGAGCTCAGAAAGCAGGGCATCAGCAACATGAGTAGAGTTTGAGGTGCACTTTCATTCCAGGACTCATGGGGAGAAGAGTTGTTCAAAGCCGGCATTTACTGATATCTCGGTGGCTGTGGGGCCCAAGACAAGCCTCAGATTGTCACACTGCCGTTCGCCGCATCCCCTTAGAAGTCTCAGAAAGACGCTCCGCCGCAGGTCAGTCTGTTGCAGTAGGGGTACCCCTGACGTAGGAGTCTTGGCGGGGTAATATCCCTAAACCCTCCATTTCATCTCCCAGTTTCTTTGCCATGTGAGTCTCAGCCATTTAGTATATTCAGGCTTTTCCATTAGGGCCTCAGAGGCTACCCAAGGCCTTAACACCTTAGAGCAAAGCCTCAAGCCCAGACAAATGCAAGTACACGGCAACAGCAAAACGAACGACTGTCTCGAAAGCCGCCCAAAATCTGCACGCAATTTGTGACATAAACCCTGAACCCTAAAACAGAAACCCTTGAACCCCCCTTTACAACCTGTATCAACCTTAAACCCTTGAACTCCAAACCCTAGGGCCGATCATAAGCCCTGCTTCTTAACCCTACCCTTGAACCTAAACTCTTAAACCCTAGACCTTAAACCTTTAAAGCGCCAGACCTTAAGCCCAACTGGGCTAGGAATCCTACTTATAATTAAGGTGACCCCTATAAGCCTAAACCAAACCTTGAACCCTACAAGCCCTAGCCCTCAATCCCCTAGACCCATTAACCCCTAAAACCCCAAAGACCCTAAGCCTGAAATGTATAGCTACATGGACCCTCTGGGTAGATAGGGAAGCAGCCCAGGAAATAGTAGCTTCCATTTTCTTTCCCATTATCCCTGTACAACTCTATATAACCCCTATATAACCTCCATATATCCCCCCATATAGACCCCTTTGAAAGGGTTGAACCCCAAACCCTAAGCCCTACACCCTAGACCCTACACCCAACCCTAAACCCTAAACCCTCCTAAAACCTATGGGTTGGCTGCATCCCAGGATGGTCCGCTCCCTGGTTGTGACCGGTGCCGTACTTCTCTGCAGCGGCCGGGGCCTTGGGTAGAACTGGACTTCTACTGGAGGGTTTAGGGTGTAGGGTTTAGGGCTTAGGGTGTAGGGTTTAGGGCTTAGGGTTTAGGGTTCATGCATGCGCTTAGGGTGTAGGGTTTAAGGCTTCGGGTTTAGCGTTTCGGGTTCAGGGTTTAGGGTTCAGGTTTTAGGGCCTAGGGTTTGGGGTTTAGGGTTTAGGGTCGGGCTTTTGGTAGAACTGGACTGTAAACAAGGAGATATCTAGGGACTAGCGATATCCGCCAGTAATGGAGAATCAAACGGGCAAGAAAACCCTACACCCTAAACCCTGCCATTGTTCCCCGGTCCGCTTAAGGCTCCATGTAGGTACTGTGTAGGGTTTCTAGACCTCTGGGCCCAATGCTGCTTCCGTTTCTAGACGTGGAGCCGCAGGGTTCTAGATTTGTTGAACAGCACGGCGTGTTTTCATATTATATGTTTGCTGCGGTTTTGATGGTTTGGTGCTTAGAATTGAGTTCAGCGGTTTGGTGTTTTTTGAGGGTTCAGGGCCTTATTCTTGGGATCTTAGTGGTTCGAGGGCGGTGTGGATTGAGGCCATCTCGCTTTACCCTGTATAGCCCCAACAAAAGCACTTGTATTTTTTTGGGAATACTAGGTTGTGGTAGATGTCCTGCATCCAGCGTTTGATGTTCTTTCATAAGCACGGTCTAGGCTATTCAGTTGTTTTTGTTCAGGGCTTTGAGTCTGGGTCTTGAGGGGGGTTAGGGCTCAGGGCACTTGAAGCAGTTCTCAATAAGATCCCTTGACAACCCATAATCTTCCTCGTTGATTCCTTGTACCGACTTGGTATAAAGCTTCACTTAAATAGACCTCAACATGATATCGACAATCCCAGAAACCCCCTGGATAAGCCCAGTTTCCACCTCATTCTGCATGTTCTTCTTCATTTGTTTTTCCGTTATTTGGGTAGTACCCCTCAACCCAAACCCCCTTAACCCTAAACCCTAAGCCCTAGACCCCCATACCATGAACTTTGAACCCTGAGCCCCCATGCCCTAGACCACCAAACCCTAAACCCTAAGCCCTACAACCCCAAACCCTAAACCGTCAGCCCTCAACCCTAAATCCTAAGAGGTGCCATCTTCACCGCCTTCGTCGCAGCGCCTCGCGCCGCCCCGGCGCCTGCCACGCCGCACGCGGCCACTGCGGCCTTGAGCGCCTGAGTTGAAAGGTTTAGGGTTTAGGGTATGAGGTTGAGGGTTTTGGGTTTGGGATATGCGGGTTTATAGTTTAGGGTATGCGGTTTAGGATTTAGGGTATGGGATATGGGGTTTAGGGTTTAGGGCTTAGAATTTAGGGTTTAGGGTCTAGGGCATGGGGTTTAGGGTATAGGATTTGGAAGGGCTTATATGAGCTAGAGTCTAAACTCCTTAAAGAGTGGTTATATAGGGTTTAGGGTTTAGGGTCTAAACTTCTTAAAGGGGGTCATACAGGAGATTATTCAAGGGACGATTATACGGGTTGTTAAAGGGGATACTAGGAG